ATATGTGCTTACTTTGAATTCCAAACTATGGTTTCTACTTTCTCACTATGCTCTTCTCTTTTAAGTTTAAACATGGTATTTATTTCGTTTGTTTTTCTTATAACTTCATTAGGTTTTTCCTTCTTTTTTTTTGCCTCCTTACCAATGCATACACCACTAGCTTTGACTCTTTTTAGCTCCATTAAAGTATAATTTCAACTAAAAAATTGTTATGACACAATTAAACTTATCTAGTCTTACTTATTAATTATTATTTACCTACTTGCCACTATGACTAAATTACTGCATTCAATTCATATGTATAATGTATAAATATATAAACATATAAATATATCCAATAATTGTATGCAGATTTGCAATGTAATTTAAGTGAACCTAAACTGTGTAATTGTAGTGTACCTACCTTAACTGGCACAACCTTACAATATCAATTATAAAGTTGAAAGTTTTAATATTATTACAAATAATATAATTATAATATTAATATTTTATTTTATATAACAATTCAAAAAAAAGTAAACTCTTATTTCTATTATATTAGTTCACTTATTGAGATTTAAATTATGTAGGTACGGAGTACGTAGTCACTGACATATAGAGTTTAGCAAGTTGTATAATATGAAATGACACAAATGTATTTTAGTAGCCAGTAAATAAGTACAATCGATAATCCTGATTTGCCAATACGGGCCAACGCAGTTATACTATACGTCAAGTTTTACAGTTTACTAGTAAAAATAAACCCACTAATATTTAATAATGTTAGGTACCTACCTAGTACCTACTTAGTTAATAACGTTTATTTCTCTTTATTTAAAATGATAAAATATAGGTAAAAAAAAAATGTATGTATATGTGAATTTAAAAAATAAATAATAATAAAATATATCATCTTTTTAGAAATCTTTCTGACTTTCTCTTTACGAAAAAAATTAATTTTTTGTTTATTTTATCTGAGATAATTTTGCCGCCCCCGGGCAATTGCCCACCGGTGCCCCCCCCCCCCTTAAAACCGGCCCTGGTTACATAACTTATAAATTATCATATTAATATTATTTATCATGGTTTTTACTTGATCCAAATATGTCGGAGTAATATAATATAATATCGTAGTAATATATGTTCGAAGTAATTGATATCGGAGCAGTATTATGGTTGACAATAAACATTTTTTTTCGGAGTAATACAAGTTCATAGTAGTATATAGTCGTAGCACTGGTGTTATCCCACAGTAGGTACTGTAGCTAGGTACTAGTTTTTATCATACCTTGTAATGTATACTTATTACTTCTTGAAAACATTATATAATTATAAATGACAATTTAATAGAATATTTTGTATTTTCGGAGTTAGTCGTCCGAGTGAGTCTATAGTTATATTACCCTGCTAATTTAAATAAATATGTACACAGCCATAAATACACATAATATTATGATATTATTTATTCACAAATTGAGTTTACTGTAATTATAATTTTACTCATTACGACGAATAAGCTTTTTAAATATTGAAATAATTATTATTAAATTAGTATTTATATTATTATCATGTGAGTTATTATAATGTGTAAAACCACATATTATGTAATGTTTATACATTCAAACAGTGTACAGCGATACATAATTTAATACAATTAATATACAATACTTACATAATATTATAGATGTACAAAATGGTATACTGATTCCGAATACGTACAAATATGCTATTTAATATTTTATTACACATCACAACTCATACGATCAACTGCGAAAAAGTTTTACTTCCCCTGCACGAAGGTATTACAAACACACTCTATTTTTTTTTATTTATTATTTTATTTATTTATTTATAAAAAATAATGGGCCCCACTGACTGGTTTTAAAAAAAACATTACAAATATTGTAACTATGGGCAGCGTATAACTGTTTAGTTCTTATTAAATCAGTAAATATATTTTTACATCATTCTCTGATTATAACACAGTGAAAAATTGTCTTATATATTGAAATTATCCTATATCAGATTATCATTATGTCTTATATCACAGAAGTGAATAATTCGTCCGAAGCCCAAATGCAGTCCGCTGCTGAAATAATGAAACAGGTGTTTGACGATCTCCGGCAAAATCGCCCTAAAAGGTTTCAAGACAATGATCTCACCAGTTTAAAACTGCATCGACGATATAAATCGTTACCCGACATGCCAATTTCCGCTAGCGAAGACGTTCAGATCGATTTGCAGTCCTCAACCGCTATGATGATGCAAGTTTTCAGTGATCTACGTGAAAATCGTCAGATAGCGGTCGACGTTAGTAGACAGTAGTGTCAAGATTTCAAAGGCTCAAAGACTATGTAAATCGATGCCCGATATGGCATTCCTAACAAATGCCGAAGTTGATGCACCTGATGCTATGCCGTCCACGGAAATTACCGTTTCACTGGATTCATTGTATGCGGAAACAACTAACAGTGCAGTAATGACACCCGTCGCTGCAGAACTTATCGACATCGACACGATGTTGTCCGTCTCGACAACTTTCCCACTGGTTAAGCCGGTCGAATCCGACCCTCAACGGTTTAGTCCCATACTGAAAGTGGCACCACAGTCAATTGGGGATGCAGAGTCGAAAAATGGTTTGACAAAACCTTTGGACCTGGAGACCGCCAGTTTACAGGAAATTGTATCCCTTTGCAGTCGTGGAGATGCTGCAGAAATGGAAACTACAGTAACAGCCGCCAGACCTAAACGTCGCTCACTATGGAGCCGAGTGAAGAGATTCGCTCGGCGAATGGTTTGCTGTGGTGCTAACAGCGACATACACCATTAGGTGTATAGGTAGTTTTTTGAGGAGTGTTTGGGCACCGGTTTGAAAGTTTGTTTAGTTTGCCCCCTCACTTATCACGTTTATGGCGCCAGTGTAGTAAGTCACCGTGCACGATCATCCCGAGTTCGCTCCAAGAGTTTGTGTCCGGCAGCTATATACATATATAAAACATATATAAATATTGCTATAAAACCGTAATCGTGTATACATTAACACTAATAAACGTTTATGCTTTGTAATTTATTTGGTTTTTATTTTATATCATTATTAAGAGTCGACACGCTGGTGTAAATTTAATTTATGTGACTGGTGGAAATCGTGTTTATATATTGTACTGGTAGAATTTGGGTTTGTTGTAACTGGTGTATAAATCACACGAGGGACCTTGTATTGAATGCTTAGACTCTTTGACTGATAACCAAAACATTTTATCAACAAGAAACGTCGAAAAAACCAAAAAGACTGCTATTTTATGAGAAGAACGATGTTTAATAAAGATCTCCAAGGATATTTTGATATTTCCACATTTCTGAATAATTTTATATTTTTTTATTGAGTATTCAATTTTAGATTATAGTTCTGTAATATAGAATCCCCGTCAATATTGCTTAGTAGCCCTCATTAAGGTTGTATCGTTAATAATATTATAATGTACATTCTATAATCAAATTATCTAATAAATATAATATTATGCTGTATATATGTACTGGCATCAAAATCTTCTATAGGTTGTAATATAATATTAATATTACCAACAGATTCAATACGAGTAGGTATACTTGATGTATAAGAATATGATAGTTGGATATTAAATATTAATTTTAACTTAGACTCTAATATTATTTCATACAGTTTGAGACGGTTTGGCAGTCTGGATATTGTATATTTTTATTATTTATTATAGCCTGCAAGTTGAATATTATTTGTAATATTATTATTAGATTCTGAGCGGGGCGAGGAAGCCGGTGGTTTTACATTGGTGTTTATTTTTTTTTTTTTATTCTGTATACAACATATTCTACCAGAACTCCTTCTTCTTCTTTTAACTCCTCCTTATGCTTCGATTTAAACATAATATAGTATCTTATCTTTTTAGAAAATTGGATCAACATGGTACTTTAGAGTGGTAATTTTTCGACTTTCTCAATAGTTATTTAATGACACAGGAAAAACCACCGACAAATTACAAATAGACATATTGCTCAACTAAGGAGGCTGGATCGAGTAGTGGAGTGGCTATGCACTCTCAATAGCCTCCCTCCCTCTTAAATAAATTATCCTCTGAACTCACTAAAGTTAATAAATAAAAAATCGTTTCTATGATGATAAGCAAAGCGTTGTCAAAAATGCTTATAAAAAAAAGTTGTAAATATATATTTTTAATTTTTTTCAACTGCTATTTAAGCAATATATCAGGAGCCTTGTATATTAAAATTTCAATCTTCTTTACTCAATAAATAAAATTGTATTGATATACATAAAAAAAAAACTTTAAAAAATTGGAAACTCAAAATGTCCGTAAAAACCAAAAAACCAAAAACACTACACTAAAAACCAAAATTGATTTTGCTTCAAAATTCCCGTTTTTCCTTCATTTTTCTTTTCTTTTTCCCTGCGCTTCGGAAAACTATTTGGAATTTTTTACATTTGTCCCCTCAAAGTACCAACTAGATTAATTTTCCTATCAGAAAAGATACCATTGAAGAAAATATAAGCATTTTAATTGTCCTAAAAGGTGATGATAGACACAAAAAAATATTTAAAAAAAACACACATAACATTGTAAAATCAATACATTTGCATCGCTCCGCTCAGAATCTAAAACATGATCTTAATATCTTATGGTATATCGTAATCTAAATTTTTACAAAATATCAACATTTACAACAATAATTTATTATCTTGCTATAAAATCAAAAAATAAATAGGTACCATAAGATAATAATATTGATTTTTGCAGAAACGTATTTTTATGAAATTTTACTTTAAATTATGTTGTTTTTTTTTAATACAAAAATTAATTTATTGCATTGATGAGCGTCGTGCTCATCACCATCATACTCGAGTAGTCGAACAGTATTATAATTTATAAGTAAAATGAAAATCGTTCGGTCGAGTTTTAAGTAGAAAAAGTTTAGCCGGGTACTTATTGTGTACTGAAAATAACAATGTATTATTACTGTTATTGGTTTAGAACTGGATCGACGATAGGTTGACTTGGAATCCGAGCGTATATGAACACCTGAATTCCATAATAGTCGACCACCGTGAGATCTGGCACCCGGACATCATGGCGTTCAACAAGTAGGTATATTAGAAAATTACTTATGTCGATCAAAACATAAAAACAAACATTCATCAAAAACGGATGTCGCTGAACTTTTAGCGTCGACGCCAACATGGAAGACGATCGGACGCATGTCAACAGCGTGTTGAACAGTAGCGGTGGGGTGATATGGGTTGAACCGGTGCAGTACATTATACATTGCAAGACGGACACGACGAACTGGCCTCACGACACGCAGACCGGAGTCTTGAAACTCGGGTCGTGGTTGTACTTGGGCAGAGACCTGAACCTGACCATCGACGAAGGAGAAGAAGTCGGTGACACCCATTTAACTTGCGTATATTATTGTGCATCGGTGGCGCCCAGATTTCATGTGTGACCCCGGCCAAGAGGTGATGTGGGGCCGTGGGGTGGAGAGACTCCCTAGCTTTAAGATATCAGTATTTTCCACATTCTCATTGGTACGGTCTTTGGACTGCTATTCACTGCGTTTCTAAAACTGCATATTGTGTAGGACAAATGATAAAGGACTCGATTCTACTATATGGAATAAGAAAGTGGGGCTGAGCTGTAATAAACGACCCCCAAAGAATATTCAATTGCATTCACTTAGTGCAAGAATCATAGGTGTACCGTGTACCTATACCGGTGTGTGGTAATATTATTCAATTAATATAAAACGAATAGTATACAAATAATCAGTATATTAACTAAAATATAAATTATTTTGATTTATACATACCCAGGGGGCCAGGCACCTAATATATTTGTCATTGCAGACATGAGTTGATGGGAAGGTATAATAATTTTAGTAAATCACGTGGTATTATAACATGCTCGATGCTCTCAAAAATCCTCTGGGCGCCCCCTTATCACATTATCATAGCACGTTGTAGATAACCTAGTGCGTCTTAACCACGGTAACGGTTCCATACAATATTTTTTCCAGGTAGAAATGGCTAGCTCGCACTCGGAATGGGACATCATTAACGTTTCCAGGGAGAGAAACATCAGGTACTATGACTGCTGTCCCGACGAACAGTATATCGACATCGAATACAATATCACCATCCGGCGGAAGGTCCATCCCTATAAGTCAGTCCTCTATATCCCAGCTCTATGTGAGTACCCGTTTCTTGTTTTCGATTTCCGTTCGTTGACGATAAGTCTATTGGGTATATTTTCTTATTACTACCATCGATCTATTATACATGGGGTGATAAAATATAATGCTGTTCTATAGAGCCCACCATAAATTGTTGATGTGTGATTTTTTTAGGGGGGGGAGAGTTTCTTATTTTTTTATGTAGATGGACTAAAATTCGATTTATGGGGCATATCCTATCAAGCCAACTGCCGAGCCACCCCCCTCCTCTCGTAAACCATTACGCAATATAATATTTATGTAAATGTACACAACAGTGCATAATATACACAATATATACCTAATACCATTGATTATAAATACTAATTTATTTATTATATTTATAATCAATGCTATAATATAATATAGCCATGTATAACTATATACAGGGTGTCCCGTGAGGATTTACTCATTGCGATATCTCCTGAAATAATAGAGATATCGTAATTCTGTTTTCTTATTAAGACTCATAGAGGTAAGCACTACAAATAACTCATTTTTTATTTTTTTTTTATGTTTTGGTAAAATTATATTTAATTAATTATTTAAAAAAATATTGAAGATTGCCATTTTGTAGAGTTCATTTTTCTGAAAATATTGACGTTTCAACATTTTAATTTCATTAATTTCCTGATTTTTAATAATTTTTTTAATTATTAAGTAAAACGGCAAAAAACCGGTTTTTGTCCGGGCGGCGAGTCCCCCTCTACGGCTAATAGGTAAATCCTCACGGGACACCCTGTATTATGTACTTACTATAGTTCTGTAGAACTATTCAAAAGTTTGATCTCCCATCTCCAATACTAGATGAAAGCACAGAAAACAACGCTTTTTTTTAACTTGGCTTATTGTAAAGCAAGTGCTTATCAAAATAAACAGGGCTTTGCTCGAGATAAACTGCAACAGAGCATATAATGTTTGGTACGCTTGTTTGCTGAGTCGTTATAAAATTTTCTCTTCGCATTTTCGAAAATAATACTTAGCTCTCATTGCACAATTGAATTTGTACGATTTCAGTAGGTGTGTAGGCGCACATAATTATACATTTATACCTATACATCATATACGTAGACCAGATTAAAAATAAGCACAAATAAATAGTGATATAATATGGCTTGTGCTCATTTACCCAAAATATTTATTTTATTTTATTTTATTTATTTATTCCAACTACAACAGTAATACTTAATACGAAATTATCATTATTATAAGAGTAGGTCATCTCCAAGCCAATGGCTGTGCGGAGATGAGAGCTCTAATTACATAAATACTTATATTTCTAATTCATGCATGCAAAATGAATTCACGTTCAAAGAGGTAGATCATAAATGTATACAAATAAAAAACTTAACTTAATCAGAACGTAAATTATATACTATGTTTACAATTTATTTACAAATGTATCGACAGCAAGTTTCTTAAAACTAAGGGGACTATAAAAGTATTGCTGATTAATTTTAAATTTAATACAGAAATCTATGAAAACATAATATGGTCCTGATTGTGCAAAATTAGTTCTAAATTTAGGAATATTTATATTAATATTTTTTTTAAACCTAGTATTGTGTCCATGTGCATTTGATCAGTTATTGTTATGGGTGGAGTGTGGACAAAATATAAATCACATGCCAAAAGTGGTACCTACCTAAAGACGTTTCCTTAAAAATATTTGTCAAAAATTACTCAAGTCTAAGTTGCATATATACTATTATATTATCATATAGAATAGTTAGGCCTGCACAGTTCAATGATTTTATTAACATTGAACATTGAAAGTATTAATTATATGTTTATTAACCGTCATAGCCGCATAATACCTTTAAACGTCCCTCAAACTCATATTGTGTCAAAAACGTTCTAAACACCTACTTATCGTCAAAATTAAAGTCTATTCGCACCGATCAACAGAATTTTAACTTCAGGTATAGGTAACCCAATAAATAATTTTGACTTGTTCATGATAACTAAACCAGATTAAAATCACTGATTTAATTTAACTATAGAACAATTTTAACGGTACCAATTGCTTAATATTTAGATAGGTAAGCAGTAAGCACGTGTTGTTATGTATTTTATTTTTTTATTGGACTAATTTAAAAATAACTGATCCCAAATGGTTGGGCGTATACTTATTTTTAAATAAACAATATTATCAATGATGTAGAAATGAGTGAGTTTTTGGGCTGGATACTAGATTTTTTATTTCTGATCGATTTTTTGAAAGGTTTTCATTGTCAAGATTACTTATTAACTTTATCAAAAAAACATATTTATGGTTCATAGATTTTCCTTATATGGAGGAAAGTGTCATGGTTTTAAATTTTAACCTATTTACTATGTGTTTGAATCTAATATAATATGTAATATATTGATCCCGATAAATGTTCTAGGTCATTGATCATATTATTATTATTATTATTTTCATTATTTCAATAATATAACTAAGGTCTTACTAGTTTATGTAGGTACCTATTTTATCATTAATTACCAAGCGTTTATTGGAAAGCAAAAATATCGTGTTATGCTGAACCAACTATAGAGTCTAGACAATAGGTACTGATTCGAAGACTCATTTTTGATTTTGTTATTTTTTTTATGTATTTTATTATTTCAATCATAATATGTCCTAAGGTGATTTTATTTGCAGGATAAACTTGTATTAATATTTTGTTGCTAATTTTGTGTTTTCCACAGGCAGTATTTCGTTTAATTTACTAACATTTTGGCTCCCGTACTCCGACAATCAAAGTAAATTGTTTGTGAACCTGTTCAACGCACTGTTCGTCACTTTGGCCATTATGGTCGTGTACACTAAAGTACCGATTGTCACTTCCACTGTTCCGCTGATTGGTACGTAACACAATACACTGCAATATATTATACTTATATTTAAAAAATAAATAAAATTACCTACTCGAATAATAATATTACGACGTATCACGCAAAACTATGTGATTTGTAATAACTAATATAATATTATTAACACGTAATTTGTATCAATATAATATTATGTGTACACACTAGAGGGGTGATCCACCAAACAAGCTCGTCCCCAATTATCTTTGAATTTTGGATATTGTATTCAAATTCTGATATTTGCATATTTTAATTAGGTACATAGTGGAGACTATGTTTTAAATTACATAAATTTTCGTGGAATTTAAGGAGTAGTCCTGTAATTTAGGCGACACAAACTTTTTTTCGAACGAGGACCACCCTTTTTATTGTAAATTATTCCGCAGATTATTTTATTAAAAATGTGAATGTCTACATCGCAATTCAATTGGGTTGTTAAGTAATTAAATAGGTGATTAATGATAATAGGTTCAAAGTTCAAATGTTGGCAATGATTATTTGAAAATTATAGGTAATAATTAAAACTAACCTAAGATAGTTTTTATTCTGTGAAAATTATCCGAGTATTATATAAATACCTAGGTAATATAGTCTAAAAATTTTACATATTTAATTATAACAACGAAAAATCATTTGCTAAACAATTTACAGAAAAAATAAAGGATTTCATTAAAATATTACTAGGTACACTTTATTACTACAAGACGTATATTACGATAGGTTGAAACTAATTGTTGCTAAAAATTTCCAAATATAATATCATATTATAAAACTATAACCAACTATTTTGAAAAGTACTGGAAATTGTTTATACTTTTAACCCCAAAGTACAAACTGGATTCAATTAAAAGCAGCAGACTAAATATTAGAGATTGAAGCTTTTTTTCCTATGTAAAAAGTGTGCTCTTCTGACACGACAAAAAAACACACATCTTTGTATTACCTATAATACCATTACATTCATCGCTCAGTATTTAAACATAAGAGGTTGGCGGGTATATTCCCTGTATTTTATTTTATAGTAGGTACCTAGCATTATTATTTCCAAGTATTTTTCCCGAAATATATTTTAAGCACTTTTCCACATTTACCGAAATGTCATTAAAACGTATGTCAATGACGAAATTTCGTTTTTTTCCTCAGTCGTTTACTACACTTACAGTTTGGGACTGATCGCCGCGACCGCGGTGCTGTCCATGGCTGTAAAAGGCATGTCCGTGGTGAGCAAACCACTACCACACTGGGTTACCTGGTTCCTTCATTCCGGTTACCTGGTGTACTTGGGGATCGAGATAAACGTACGTACCAGAGGGCAACGACGAACTCGACCACGTCGATTTTAGATGTTTTTTTTTAGATCGCTGGGATGCCCAGTCCCCACGAACCAAACCTTTTCGACGTTCAAAATATAATAATATTAACGATGCTTTTGTCGTTTCAGGGTCCGGCGGCCGATTGTCACATGCTCTGCGAATCCGAAGAGATGATCGCTCAGACCGCCGATTTGAATGAGCGACACAAACTCGCCAAGGTAATCGACAGGATATGTTTCGTGGTGTTCGCATTAATCTATTTGATTCTTCTATTGAGGCTAATGCCGTAGACAGACTCTGTCTCGCTGTATACTATACCTTAAATGCATCCTGTCCAATAAAGGCACGTCCTGCGCCTTATCGATCATACTTGTATTATTAACGATTTATTTTCAAAACAATTTATACCTACCTACCATACACTATAGAGACGATAATAGTGTCGTTGGACGGCACTGACCTGCAGAAGATCAAAATTATACCAGGTGAAACCATTGATGAGTAAAGTCTAAAAAACAGAAAGTTGGATTTTGTTTTTTACATATTAATAATTAATATAACTATATGACCTACTTATGTATATAAATAATATAATAAAGTAATAATGTTCAAATTCCACATAACATAATGTATTGATGCTGCTTGTATATTGGGTAATTTGGTTTTAGCAAAACCATTTATTTTAACCTATAGGTTAGCCGTTAGGTTAACCTAACCTAACCTGACTTACCTATCGGTAACGGATTATATTTTGTACATTTTTGTAATGTATTTTTTGTTTAAAATGTTATTCAGATATTATCACTGTTTTAAGGCAACTTGGGGGGGGGGGCTCAAGATAGAATATAAATATATATATCTTCCCTCCCAAGACAAAATCGTAAATACGCCACTGCGAGTGCATTTGCTATTTGCATCTCATGGATGCTCTTTATACATTTTACAGAGGGTAATGTGTAACCTAACCCTTTTTTTTATTATTGCGGTAGGTACCGAGGCCCGGGTGTGGCACTGATGTTTTCATTACTTTGACCTAGGTACCTAACCTAATCCAACCTATATGTATAGAGTTATTGACTCTGATTAAAAACAAAGAAAATATAAAAACAGATTTCGAAAGCTTTTACAATAGTAGGTATTTATAATATACTTAATGTCATCAAATTTCACCATAATTTGTTTAGCATCATAAATTTCTCCAACTAACAACAAGCATGGTTGTTTAATAATCCACCAGATTTAATTGTTGTTTTCGGAAAATATTCATGAAAATATGTGAAATTGTGAAATATTATATTTAAATAAGTTAGGTAGCAAAATAATTAGATTAATAAATATTTGTATGATGTAGGTAATTCTGAAAAATGCAACATATTGACATGATACTTGATAGTATAATATTACTTACTACCATGACAAAATAGATATATTTTGTCATGTCTACTACTTTATACAGTTAGGTCCTACTAGTCAATGGGGGAGGGGGGGGGGGGGGGTTAGATCCCCCCATTCCCTCATTGGCTTTTTATTACCTTAGTAAAAAGTTTTGAGAGGGTGGGAGATTTTCCAATTTTTCCCTCCCATTAGCTATGTCGTTTTTTTTTTTTGATCCCTCCCTTTCAGAAATCATGTCTACGCCACTGGGGCTAGGTTATACACCAATATATTATTATACATCTTCAAAGTAAAAAACAACAGCCTATCAAAAGCCGCATAAGTGTTAGTCGATCGGTAATTATTAAGGTAGGTTTTAGTCCTACACTAATTTCGTCAAGATCTCATCACACACTTGAAGGTATCGATCTCGTTGAATAGACGGATCATATCGACGACACTTGCAATCAGCGAACGCTGATTCTGACAATATTCCTCCAAAAAAAATCATTTTAAAATTTAAGGAACTTAAACAGGACACAAAGCTTTGACCTCCGTCGTTGACACCGACACCCCCATCAACGAACTGTCACTAACGACCACCCGCAGCAGATATCGCGTTGAATTTCATCAAAATGAACCATCAATTACCTTCCGGCCGGAATAAGTAGCCATTTTCGTGGTTATGGGTTTAATAGGTACTTCATAACGCATCGTCGACGCTGACACAATGACACTGAGATTGTAGTTTTGTCACGTTTATCGTCATCTGTTTTTTAAACGTAACAAAACAGAAAACCTGTTACAAAAATAAAAATGATTGTGATGTAGTAGTAGGTATATATTTGTCCTTTGACATCAAGCCTAAGTTTTTCACAGGGAATCACCATAGAGTTTGACCGGTAATCCTCAAAATTCTTTGTATTGATATCGAAATAAAAATTCTATCAATTAAACATTATACTAATATTATATTATATTATTATAACTAATATAATTTCTATATTACCTATTTCATAAAACAAATGTGATGTCTTATTATTATGTCAATAGTTTAATGGGGTTGTCTTTTTGGAACAAGTCATAACAATAAATGTAACAAATTATAATAAACTATGGAAAAAATCAAATATATTGTGTACCTACCTACCTATTATATATAATATATATACAGGGTGTCCCGTGAGGATTTACTCATTGCGATATCTCCTGAAATAATAGAGATATCGTAATTCTGTTTTCTTATTAAGACTCACAGAGGTAAGCACTACAAATAACTAATTTTTTATTTTTTTTTTATGTTTTGGTAAAAAAGTTAAAAAAATTATTTTTTTAATTAATTATTTAAAAAAATATTGAAGATTGCCATTTTGTAGAGTTCATTTTTCTGAAAATATTGACGTTTCCACATTTTAATTTCATTAATTTCCTGATTTTTAATAATTTTTTTAATTAATAAGTAAAACGGCAAAAAACCGGTTTTTGTCCGGGCGGCGAGTCCCCCTCTACGGCTAATAGGTAAATCCTCACGGGACACCCTGTATATACTATATTATATTATTATATGCATTCAATTTTGAGCTAAAGAAAGCAAATAATCTGCATTTAAAAAGCATACAATATGGACATTATATTATTCACTCTTAATAATTAGTAATGTAAATATTGTAAATTGTGTGTTTTTAAACAAAATATTTTAATACCAATATTGTAAAACGATAAAGTAGTTATAACCACTCAGGTATATAGTTATAACTTGTAAGTGTTGAGTGTCCCTCGGCATTAATAAGGTAACTGTAGTCTGTAATGGATGCATTAGTTTTGAATTAAATAATAAATCTACATTGTATACAATGAAAAACAATTTATTCTGAGCGGAGACGGTATAACTTTTTTTTAAATTACACGATAATGTAATTTTTTAATACAATAATAATAATTATATTCATTATATTGTAATAATTTATTAATAAAAAATAATTTTTAAGTTTAAATTGCAAAAAAATTGTTTTAATAGTCATAGGTAATCCGAAAGAATATATGCATTTGCAGTGGCACTCACATGACTTATGACTATCTATATAGTGCAATGGAAAATAATATTACATACTATAATACATAATAGTACACAGATGCACTTGAATACCTACTTGATTATAATGCATTATAAACATTGTATAGGGGTTATCGGTTTAATTCTATATTGCAACACACAACATACACATGCTCTTATTATTTTAGCTGCTGTATTAAAAAATAAAAACAAAGTTCATCATAATATTTTATCTGTGCAAATTACATATTAAAGAATACCAAAACCACACTTTTAAGATATGAATTGCCAATTACAATTTACAGCAGTCGTCTATTATTCTAATTGAATAACAAAATTTAGTATTTTCCTCAAAAAAATGAAAAAAATTATTAGATTGACATAGTTTTATATAATATTAAAAATTAAATAAAAAAATTATAATTATTTATGTTATCTGTGTTTTTTGTTTTTGGGAGTCTTGTTGTGACCTGATGAACTTTGCTGTTCCACAATCACAGAACCGTTTACAATGTCTTCCCGGTCTACACTTTTGTCGATTGTATTCTGAGCTTCTAAGAAAAACATGAGATCACGAACTTGCTCTTTCAATTCACCAATTTCCTAAAAAAAAGCCATGTTTTGTTATTATTTCAATATTTCCTAATATCTTAAGCTCAACACTCCCTACCTTTAAAATTACATATTTTTAAACATAAAACAATAATTTTAATTTTAAACTCAAAATATTTACTTGATCTTTAGTAGTTTTATATTTGCTAAAATCTTTTTCCAAATTTGAAAATTTAATATGCCATTCATTTTGATTGGTCTGTAATGCTGAGTTCATTTGACATTCTTCGTCTAACTTGATTTTTGTTTGGTCTAGTTTGATTGATAAATTATGAACCTAAATAACCACAAAATAATAATTATTAAATCATAATATTCATGATTTTAAATTCCGAGCAGAGGTATCAATGTATTAATGGTGTATGTTTACTTTTTTTTGAGTCTGTGATCTACTTTTGTGGCAGTAAAAATACTTCAATTTTCTGATAGGAAAGTGGGCGGTGGTAAACTCTCCTGATTTTTAAAACTAGTAAACTCTCCCGGGTTAACTTAATGTTTACCTGAAGGGAATGTGTAAACTTTCCCGGGTCAATATTATGTTTAGCTAAAGGAAATGTGTAAGCTCTCCCGAGTTCTTTTAAATGTTATTGCAACACTGCAGAGATTGTGATAATCATTTAAAAATGTATATTATAAATACTCACAGCAACATTGATTTTTATTACTTTTATATAGTCGATTTTTTTTGTGAATCACACTGTATAATACAATATTATTCATTAGTATTACCTATTTTACATTGAATTTTATTTCATTATAACTATTATCATTATTACCATTATCAAGTTGTTTTGTCCTAATATCTAAATCCCTATAGGATCCATAAAAGGATTATGTTACATAGATTTCCTAAAGAGGTAAGTATACAGAAGAAGTGGATCTTAATCACAAAAACTGAAAGTTGATTCTGTGCCATATGTAAAAGAGGTATTTTTCACGTTTTTTATAATACAATTAATACCTATGTGTTTTTTATTTATACTGTTACTTTTATTTTATATTAAATGTAATATTCCCATTTGTTTAATTTCTGTATTTAGTTGCCACTACATTATGCGAAAAAATTGAAATTGTAAATGTGGATGACATTATTAGTGTGGCCCCATACTCCCCTAGCTTAGAAGTACTGAAGTTGACCCGGGAGAGTTTACATGGTCCCGTCAGTTAGTACTGAAGTAGACCCAGGAAAGTTTACATGTTCCCATCAAGCAGTATTTTTAATCCCGTGAGAGTTAACCATCGGGAGAGTTTACATGTCATTAAAATAGGGAGAGTTTACAATCACCCAGGAAAGTGAATCTAGTAGGTACTTTGGTGGGTCAAAAGTATAAAATTCTCAGAAGTTTACAAAAGCGTAAGAAAATAAAATTAAGAAAAAACTTGAATTTTAGGCGAGACCCATTTAAGATAAAATTGATTTTATTTGTTGGTGTACCTCAAAAAATTCTTTAAATTTTCACCAAATGTTTATATTACTATTTTCCATACATAATAAAATTTTCAATATTTGTTGATTCTTTTGAGCAATTTCTAAACATTTTAAATTTTTTTAGTTGTTTTTCTATAAATAAAGATAAAACATTTTTATTGGGTCAAGAGCTTGAGAATTTAATATAAGGGTTTTTATAAGTTATTATATTAACAGTTAAAAATATCATAGATACATAGGCACAATTTTTTTTATAAGCATTTAAAGTTATAACTTTGACAATATTCATCAAAATCACAAAAATGTGCGAATTATTAGTTAAAAATGTATAAAATGTTTAATTTGTATAGCTCAAAATTGAAAATGTAAAACAAGGTTTCTTAAAACTATTTGATACGGTAACCAAAAAATCTAAAAATATATAATTTAATAGTTAAAATTTAGACAAAATTAGATATTTAAACTAAGAAAAACAATTTTATTTTAGGTATTTTGATATTATTTACGGGTGCTTCAAACTTTTAAAGTAAATTATTAATTATTATATTTTATACAATAAATAACTAACGTTTTCAAATGAAATTTTTTTGGCAAAAATTTATTTAACCTACTGTATTAGTTTAAGTAAAATAAATAACTTATTAAATAATAAATATACATATCATAAAATTAAAAATATTTACTTAGTAAATTTAGGTCTTTGCTCAGAATCGTTTTTCATATACAATGATTTTATTTCATTGAATTAAAATTTAACACATAAATTACCTTGACCCACACAACACTTAATGTACAGCAGAGGGGAACTAACTTTCCCACATTTTTATTTGTTTATTTATGTTTAATAAAATAATATTAATAGTTATCTAAGTTCAATAAATTACATTTTTATATTATTTTTCACTGTTAAAATTAAAATGTCAAAATACCTTTTTTTCTAAAAGATTTTTTTCTTTTGTTATTGAGTTAACACGTTCTAAAAGCTTTTTGTTTTCTTCAATTTTCTGTTCTAGTATGTTACTGTCCTTAGAAGTAATGCTGACCACTTTCTGTAATTTTTCATTGTCTTCAAGTGCAGCTTTGGCTTTAGCTTTCACATTATTTATCTGAATAAATTATAAAATATCAAATTAATTTAAAATAAGATATTTATCTATTAAACATTAAACTTTTAAACCACAATACATTACAAATGGTTTTAATTTTTTATTCTATACTCTCCCATAGTCTCATTTAAGAGTAACCCCAGTTTGGCCTCTACCGTCAATAATGAAACAGTGCATGCCTCTGTTATTTCTTTTTCTAAGACCACGTCTCGTATCTACAACAGTTTCTTTTCAAACAAAATCTTAAATTTTCCAAAAAGTATCGAACTTTCCACCCAGCCGAACACCACATCTCGATCACGAAAAGGAACTTTGCCAGCAATTACCATTCTCACAATAACATACCTCAAAGACAACATGCAGAAAAATAATTCTAAAACCATCCCTCCAAAAATAATTCCTAAATCTCATGTACACAGAGCTCCAAATAATTATCTAAAGCAATAAATGCCTACATTCGATGCCTTCGCAGTCAATCCTGAGGTCACACTAAAACTTATTGTAATCTTTTAATACACCTTAATGCTTATTTTTACACATCTTTTATTATTTACTACCCGCCAAAATGTAACAATTATAACAATATATTATAAATAGGTATCTAAATGTTGTAATTTGTTTTAATAAAACTATTTTTTCATTTTAGTAATAGGTAGATGTATAATTAAAATATATTAAAAGTAGGAAAATGGGTGAGAAAAATATATATATTTATGTCATATAATTTTACATACAGTAATGTATTTTAAAGGTATTATAACAGGGAATGTGGCGGGCAGAGCCATCCATGGGCCTGTTTCATTTCAAGTCAAAAATTGAAATTGCACCTATGACTATGTTTAAAATGCAAGTTAGGCAATTGTTAAAATATTAAAATGATGCTTCTGAGAACGCCTGAAGCCTGCCATCTGAGGTTATACTTATTTAAGACAGAGTAGTTTTTCAGTTTTTGGTACTGATTGGTTACTTTACACTACTTCTCATGACCCTAAAACTTATGGATTATTTTAATTATCCATAACCGATTGCAAACCATAGAGTATACTAAGGAATATTTTAGAATAAGCTGAGCAAACTAGTATCCAATCTGGTCTCTAGGTGCTTATAAAAAAATATTGGTTTTTACCCTAAGACCTATCCGGAAGTTTTTCTACTTTCTAGGATTGGCAGTAGGTATTATAATCGGATACAGGTATTTTAAAATTGGTAACCCGGTATGGGAAGGTATACTGTAATACTCCAATACTGAAAAAGGAAACTTCACACTGATTAGAATTAGTCATAGTGTAGTATACTACTTCGGTATTGAAATATTATTTTATTAATTTATTTTCATCAATATTTGTAAAATCTAATTAGATTTTTAAATGTAACTAAGAATGTATTTTTATGTATTTTACAACAATTTATGAAGAGGCTCTAAAGAGTTAGGGCAGCCATTCTAGCAGTACATTATTTATATTTTAGACCAATGATTGTGGTGGATTTTAAATTTAAATTTTAATCATGCATAGATATTTACTTCAACAAGTGTATTTTCTTCAAATAGTTTCATTTGGCTTTCAAAATATTTCCTTTGCGATTCTAATTGAGTTGTCAAAAGATATGTAAATTCAAGTTGCACGGATTCAATTTTTTGATCTGTATCCTACAACATTAATTAAATATATTTTTTAGGATTATGTTGTTTTGATTAATTGTTATTATATATTTAATGTACATCAAGTTTTCCTGGTGATCTTCCTTCTACTAATTTTCCATCTCCTTTGTTTTGGACCAAACGATGAACAAAATTATCACCAACATAATCCCACACACGATTATTTCCCAAATTCATAGAATAACAGTGAGATGTTTCTAAATAATGACTAAACATTTTGTGTTAATACATCAGTTCATAGTTACTTAGAGATTTCTAATAATTACTTATAAGCGTGACCTTGTACATAACGACCACATCCGACATAACCACAAATCAAACATATCCACAATGACTCAGAAGAATGACATTCCTGACATTGGTTGTCTGGAATTGTTTCGGGTGTTTGAACGTATCGACATACTGGACAACTGGAATGAGAAAATACAATTGATTTTGACTTTAAAATTCAAAAACAATTATCAAATAGTAGATTTGTTACCTGGTATTGCCACCCCATTTAGTCAAACAACTTCCATGGAAAGAATGATTACAGAGTATAGTTAAAATGCCATCCACTGATTCATCCATACGCTCTAAACAAACTGTACACACAGGAAGTTCAGTATGTTGAGATGGAGGAGCACTAGATCCTGGTGCATCTTCTTTTATTACTTCAACTTTGGATACAAAAACCAAATTGCAACAGCAATCCGGTTCTAACGAATTGAAAGGCATACCATTAAACGAATGAAAAAAATCCATTGTCGCTTCCTGTGGTATTACAACAACATGATTTAAATTGTTATTTAGGACCAGTTAATATGCTAGGCTTACTTGGCTTCTGAATGAAATAAGGGTCATGTATTGATGATTAAGAGCTGCAGCATCTCGAATTATTCGTATGTGATGAATGTTCTCTTGGCAAGCAGCTATGAAAGTAAGTAAGTCATGGCAGTTCATGTTTGAAGGAACAGACAAAATACATATCATTTGACTACGATTACTTGCATTGTCAACTGGCGTTAATTTGCTTCAAAAAAAATTAATCCAATATAATATAAAACTACACTGTTATTTACAATGCAGGCAGTGGCGACTTAAAAGATTTACATAAAGTGGAGCACAATTTTACAAATAATTTTATAAGATGCCTATACAGGATTGTAAAAAAATATTAATTTTGTTACAGGTACGTACCCGAAAAAAAAAACACCACTGAAAGCAGGCTATGCTTAATTCTATTCAGTATACTCATAAGTTTAGGTTTAAAATTTAAAATTTTAATGTGTCAGTTCTTACTTTTCTTTATAAACATGTAGGACACCTTTGGTAACTTCAACAAATGGATTTCCTGAAATGAAATTGATCAGTTCTGCAGCATTTGAAGTGTTTTCATCATGATTTCGTTTATTTTTATTTCTTTTCTTTGATCCTTTAGAATTCAATACTTTGACATTTGACTTTTTAAGAAATTCTATTTTTTTAGAGTTTTCTTCAATTAATGGTTTAACGGGTGCTGTTCCGTCAATAGGACCATATGTCTCCACTGTTAGTTCTCTGGATTTACGTTGTCCACGGCAAGACATGATTTTTCGTTTATCTACAACAGAATACTCTATATATATTTATCCGTTTAAACTTATTATAATTTAATCCTTGTTAACTATTTTGTTAGCAACTACTAGCTAAAAATAACTTACACGCACTAGTCAGAGTTAATAAGAGTTTATTTAATAGAAAACCACATAGGTACACCAATTACCTATGACAGGTCTACATTGCAGCATAGTGCAGGTTACCTCAATGTTACAAAAACAATACTAATTATCTAATGAGCCATATAGACAGCGGTCAGCCGGGGTTCACATCCCCAATAACATAATTATGTTGGTTATGTAAACATAGTAAATAATTTAAAAAACTGTGAGACGTAGAGGAAACAGTGTAATAAGTATTGTATACAACCACCTAACGTCACTGTCACCGCCCGTTATACATCTCTGGAGGTACCTACCCCAATTGGTAAATATTCGCTGCTGCACTTCGGCTGGTCGTGTATCGTTTTCTGTCAGTTCGAATCTCAGCACACAAAGAGACACGGACATTGCATAACAAACAAATTTCTCAAACGCATGCGCTTGTCCCGACGTAATATTGAACTTAAAATAATCCTGTACTGTAAAAGTTGAATGAGCACTATTGAGTATTGTTCAGTTAAGATGACGTACTTCGTTGATCGTTCAAAAACTGTCTAATCCAGTAATTTATCCTGTGGTAGTAAGGTGTGCGACGACAAGGATTAATCATTAATGTTTCTCATAACTTACAATATTTGTTAATTGTTATTGTTAATAGTTTAATATCAATTTTGTTTTTTTTTTTGTTTGTCTTTGTCATATAAATATATAATTTCGGATTTCTCATCAGCAGTATTATACTCTTATCACAGAACGACGGTACATAATCCACAGACTTCTATACTACACTAGATAAGGAACTCTTAAGGGGGGTTCACACTACACCGTGTCGTGTAAAATAATCACGGTTACCACAGTTACCAAACGATACCGCATAGTTGAATATATTCAACTTTTGACCGTGTGGTTACATTTATGTGCAGATAAAGCCGGGTTCATACTTAATGTAACCACACGGTCAAAAATTGAATATATTCAACTATGCGGTATCGTTTGGTAACTGAGGTAACCGTGATTATATTACACGACACGGTGTAGTATGAACCCGCCTATACAATTTACATTGTTACAAGTGCAGCTCAGCTGTGAACGGCCGCCATTTTGTCGGTTGGCAAAACATTTCATTTATTATACAAAATGTATTAGGAATAATATTTTTTTTAACGGTCAAATAAAATAGTAAATGTAAAATGACTTATATAAAATATTTTTTTTTTTTTGTAAACTAAATGTTTAAAAATAATAAAATACGATATAAAATAAATCATAATATCATCTTATTTGTCATATGAAATACCATACAATTGCCAACCGACCTTGAGGCTTCAATTCATGACCGGAGTTCGCTATCTAGTAATATATAGAAATCTGTGACATAATCTGATAAATTTCAATACCCTTATCAATAATAGAATCGTTGGTCAATCAGCTGATCAATTAGTTGGTGGCGGAAGCCCGACAGTCATGCGCCATGCACTCATGCATATTTTGTATTTTTGTCATGATGATGAAATACATTACAATATTGTACGTCTTGACAAAATTAAAAATAATATACTAATATTCGCTATTTTGTTGTATTTATGTATGCCTAGGTGGCTATAGGTAGGTATATTTTTAATATTATTTATTTTGCAAATTGTCATGATGGATATTGGAATGCATTGGACTAAAATAGATTTATAAATAAATCCATCTTGCATTAGATAATGGACACTGGACAGAACACAGACCATAGAACTTAAAATTTGGAACACAAGCTGGGATACGTAGACTACAATAGGTACATGTCTGCTTTAACGGTTGCTTCGCCGACTATATGAAAATATGGCTGCATACGAACTGAGTCCCAGTATAACCTTTTATGACGAATTGAGTCCCGGGTTGTTTTAGGGTATAAACCAATTGAGTCCAGTGAAATTGTAGGTATAATACTAATTTAGTCCATGTTTTAATACTAACTGAGTAGTGAGTCCCGTAAAATTAAAAAAAAAAACATTTTCCTTCCCATTTTTACAGACTTTCTTACGACGTCCGGTTAAAGTTAACCGACACTTAACCGGAAGAATTCTGCCGGTAATAAAATCTGTTATCAGTCGGTTAGCGTTAACCGACACTTTACCGGACATTGTAAGAACGGCCCTAAGGACTGTCTGTACTACGGCCTAAGCAATATGTATTATATTATGTTATCATTGTTATCTGACAAAAGTGATGATAGAAATAAAATCTAAAATTCCCGGCCCATAGTATAATTTGCAGTTTGCACAGATATAAAATATTTTATATCTGTGATAATTTGTTACTATATTATCTGACGAAAGTCATAAAAATGATATGAATGATATGTATATAATATATATAGGTATATCCGTGTGGAGCGGCTTTTGACGCGCGGCAAGGCTGTGTGGCATAATTTTCGCTGTGTCTGGACTCTGGATGGTTATTTTATATTTTACTCAAAATAATCCTCGGACTCAATTCGTATACAATTAGTTTCCAAACCCCAGACTCAATTAGTATATGTCTCGTTTGTACCCGGGACTCAATTAGTATATTATTTTTTTCCCGTTCAGGTATAGGGACTCAATTAGTATACAGTGGAAAATATTATATTTAGTCAGTAGTTTGTGAAATGTGGATTATAGGACTAATATTGTAAGATAGTCGATACTCGATAGAATATAGATGATAATGGAAATATTCAAATATAAAACAGCTATTTGTAACTTTACAAGAATTATTTTTGTGCATCATAACAATATAGTCCCGGACTCCGGAGTTTGAATTTCATTCCTTTGGAAAGTCTATGGGAAAAATATTGATTTCAACAAGTAAGGAACCAATGCTAGTAGGAGATGTACATGTATTAATTATTAGGATTCTGTAATGAAATCAAACTTACTGCCGAAGTGTATAATTGCCGAATTTTATTATTTTATACAACACTGATATTTCAAAAAAACAAAATTATTTTTAATAATTTTAAATTATATTTTTCTTATAATATTTTAACATATTTATATCCACATATGTATTTTTGAACCAATTCATGACAATTTTTTTTTTTTTTTTGAACAAAATATTGTACACTGTAATATTGTTTATAATTTGTTTTGTGCACGGACTAAGATTATACTCTATCTTAGTCCGTGGTTTTGTGCTAAATGTTAATACTTAATTGACTAGAAATAATTATAAAAAAAGAAAAAATAATTCAAATTTCAGGTAGTGTAAACTCCCATTAATTGGGGTAATTAATAGATACATAATAGATACAAATCTTACAAATAAACTGTACATTTAGTCTTGTTTACAAAATAATAGGTATTTTACTAAAAACTTAAATTTACTTATAGATGGTTGATCTTACATTCCTCAATTTCTTGGCTAGAATCTGGAAAAAATTTATTTATTTAGTTATTTAAGGTAAAAATAATTATTTTATTCAAATAAATTAACAGAAGGTAAGTTATATAGGTAATGTATAACCATTTAAACTAACACAATATAGGTACTTCAGTACTTCATCAATAAATATATCACACTAGGTTAATAACAATAGTTTAATAAAAATCAAAAGAGAATAGATTGAAAAAACCAGTGAAAAAATAACAAAAATATATTAAATAATTTAAGATTTTTTAGATAAGTACCTACAAGATTTAGTATAGATTAATATTCCAGGACAATTAGTAGAATATTTTGTGGAATATTTCCAATTAGAATATATTTTCCTTGTACTTAAATTACCCTCATAGGTTAGGTAGGTACTTTCATAACCTATTTTTTTAAATTATCACCAGTATAGAAATTACACATTGACACATTGATGCCAACAGAGTAAATTTTGTTCACTTGAATAATAACATAAGTCATAAACTATGAAAGAAAGTTTGAAAAGGTCTTAAGAAGTCTTTTAAGGCCTAAAGTGTATAAAAGGAATTTCAAGTAATAAAAACTTATTTTACTCTACATGTTAGGAAGGTATATTAAAATAAAATAAAAGCATTACAAAAAGTGGGTACAAATGAAATAATATTACATAGGTACTTCAATATTTTTATCAAGTGTTTTTTTTCAAAATATGACTCAATTTCATTCTTTTTCGTCGGTCTTTTCAGTTAATTATTTTTTTTCCTTGGTATTTTTTTACTGATTACTGTAGGTATAACGTATAAGTATAATACATACTAACAACAAAACCAATTCTATTTGGATTTGTTGTTTGATGATTGTAAGCAATATAGTAAAAATTCTAAAATGGCAAAAGTAACATATTGATCTAAAAATAATTAATGATTTTAGAAAAAATTTGATACCTATTTTCAAATAAAAAAATTAGGTATATCAACTGAAAATAAAATAAAAATAATTAGGGACCTAGGTACTTATTTGTGTAATTTAAAACTAAATTATTTATTTTTTCAACAAAACCCTTTGAATGTTTAAAACTTACTTCATTCTCCTTAACAATGTCTTTATTTTTTCTCTCTCGATTAATTGTTGATGTGGCTTTAACTAATGATGTAGAAGGTTTTATCCTTGAATAAGTAGGTTTCACTCCATTTGTGATTTTGTTATGTAAAATTTGATTAACCCTATTAATTTCCCAAAGTTTTTCATTTGAAAATGATATGTTTTTTTGCTTTTTATTTGTTGTTTTCATTTGAACATTTGTATTGTCTGTTTTAATATAAACTTCATCGATTTCAATGTTTTTAAATGTAACAGTTTGATTATCTGTGGTATAATCATCGATATTTAAATCACTTTTACTTTTAATTGTATTGTTCTTACATACCATTACAGGAGCACTAATAACTCTGCAAAAGTTGTTATTAGTGTTCTCAAACTGTACGCTTGGTTTTTTTTTCAATGTCCGTTTATTAAAACTAGTAATTGTTTCATCTGTAATATTTGACAGAATCATTTTTGTGCTGTATTTATTTACTCCGTTCTCAATGATTTTACTCTGTTTAGTTGAAAATAAAGCCAGGTTAATGTTTGAGTACATTGTGTCCATGATGATGACGTATAATTAATGATGTGTAACTGTAAAAAAATTGATTTGGAATTTTAATATTATCTAATAATTTAAACCCAAGGGTTTAATTAACAACAAAAATTTCAAATAAATGTATTATGTTTTAAACAATTTTAATTAATAGAACGTACTCATAATTCATATGTATAATAGCTGGTATCATAGAATAATTATAAATTATATAGGTAATGTACGAAATATTAAAGTTGATAAAATAATTTATTTATAAAATTTAAATAAGATAATCGTTGACAGTTGTACTGTCGTAGTTGGAAAGTTAGGTAAATATTTTACATTTAGATATCCCAGCTATAACTGACTGAAGAAATTAAATGGTTGCAAAGAAAATGATTAATGAACAAATAAACACAAATCACAATTATTACACAAGTGACACAACACACAACTATAAAAAGTTAAATTAACAAATTTGAAAAAACTTGTGTTCGCTTCACAGTCCACAGACATTAACATTTTGATAAATTCTATCGGAACATACGGATCACAAATCACAATAAATAATCATATGACCTTTATAAGCCTAATAATAAAGTATAAACCCTCAGGTTAATGCGGTTTATTACTCTAAATCACGGTCTTATAAACATTTCAAGAAATTATGTATATGATGGATCCCATTATATTACGTTGAATTTAAATAGTATTATAGATTTATATTGACGAAGACAATATATGTGACTCGTGCGATTGTTGTGGGTTGTAAACTAGTAACCATGACAAAATGACATGTTTTAAGTTGTGGTTGTTGTAACCATAGAAAAACCTTTGAAGAATGTGAATTCATCAGAATTACCTCTACTGACTACTGCCTACTAAGTCCAATGCCTACTACAGTTTAATCAGTATCAATATTTCGATTAGGTAATCGTAGAACGTTCATCCCCATTACCGGTCGTGCTCAGACGCCGTTCAGGGATAGGGATTTGGTTCTGCCAAATGGGGCAAGTGCCCTAGGGCAGCATAATAGTTGAAACATTTTAGGTGCCAAATGTTTAAATATGTATATTTATAGGGGCGCCAACGAAAGTTATCACTGGGGATTAATCAATTAATGTAAATTGCCAAGCATAAAACGTACATGAAATTTTCACTGGTTGTTTATATTTGCATTTTCTATACATGATAAAATTTCATAATATTATGATTTGTTTTAAACTCTTTAGGAACATTTTCATTTTCCATTTTTTTTTAGTTTTTTTTCTAAAAATATCAATAAAATTTTATTTGTAATTTGTATGTTAAAAAAGCTTGGAAATTTAATAGAAGGCTCCTAGTATATTGTTTCAAAGGTAGATGAAAAATATTAAAAATCCTTAGTCACAGTTTTTTTTTATAAGCATTTAAAGTTCAAAAATTGACAAAATATGGAAAAATCAAGAAAATTAGCAAATTATTTTGAGTTAAGAATTCATAACAATTTTTCTTTTTAAATCTAAGATTTTAAAATGTAATACAAGATTACTTATAAGATTATCTACCTTTATCAAAAAAAAATGTGTACAAATTTAATACAAGGCTCCTGATATATTGTTACAATATCAGTTGAAAAATATTAAAAATACATAGGCACAATTTTTTTTATAAGCATTTAAAGATCGAATTTGGACAAAATTTATCAAATTTGAAATTGAATAATTATTTTGTAGTTAAAAATTTATAAAATGTTCTACTTTTATATCTAAGGATTGAAAAAATTATTTTTCAAACTATAATAATTAACAGAATTTTATACTTAATATCGTGTTAAATTTTTCAAATTTTTGTCTACATACATTTATGTATGTGTAATTTAAATGTTTCTTATGTTTATTGATTAAGTAATGCTATAGCCTATACATTTTATTATTAATAGTTAATACGCAATTACATATTTTTGGTGTTTTTGATATTTAATGCAATTATTAACTTTGTTAATTTGAATAAAATAATTATCTTTAATAGAATTACAATTCATAAATATGGTAGTATGCCTGATCAACAAGTATTTAATTATACTAAAAAAATAATGAATATCAAATTATCAAATTACTTGATTGTGTATATTGTCAAATAAATAACACACAACAAAAAGTTGACACGTTAATGGATAAATTGAGCAAATCATTTTTGTCAACACAACATCTGAATCCTTAAGTCCGTCATCATTGGAGAAACTCTGAAATAATTTTACTACACATAAGTCATCACTATATCTAACTTAGTTCTAAAATACTACCTATTCATACCTGAACTTCAATGAATTAAATATTATATTTAGATAATAAAAAATATATAATCGTCAATCGATAATTTGAAACGATTAATCATATTAATATACTTTAACAATATACTTAAATACTTTATAACTGCAGTGACAACCAGGATGATTAAAAAACTGGTTTCAATTTTTATGACAATATTATTGTAATCAAATCTAAGTATAACGTATTTTTTTTACCATTAGTATTTATTGATTTGGTATAGGATAGCTCAATTCACTGGCAAATTTGAGTCGGTGTACCTCGCTTTGTAAAGTAATTCTACTGAGATCTACAATTCTCTTACAGTGGATTGGATATTATAGCACTAGATATAAATCGAACGTGGTTCAAACTACTCTATAAGTTTTCCTGATATCCAACAACGATTTGAAATCTTCCCAAAATCGGTTAAGTATTTTTTGAGTACCTATATAGTATATAAGCTACAAACATGCATTCAACTTTCATGTTTGTTTTACCATATAATTTCTTGATACTAAAACATAAGCACAATGATTTGTTGCATGCTTTTACCTCATTTCCCCGAGTAACTAACGGCAACAAATACTAAAATAGCAAATTCTCCCATTACTATTATACTATTATAGCATTGTAATCTGCAGTAGGTAAGCTGTAAGCTGTAACCGATAGCAACCATTTATAAACATAAATTTCCATCGAAATTTATACTTTTGACCCCCCAAAGTACCAACTAGATTCACTTTCCTATCAGAAAAGCTACTGATGAAGAAAATCCAAGCACTTTTACTGTCCTAAAACGTGATGACAGAGACAAAAAAAAATAAAAAAAAAACACCCATCATTGTAAAATCAATACATTCATCGTTTCACTCAGAATCTAAAATTCACATTTATTGCTGAGATAAATTTATTTGTATTATGCGTATTAGGTTTGTTTAATAGTAGGTATAATATTAAAATATGTTAATGGCGTAATACAGTTTAAACTTTAAATATACTATAACTAATAACTAGTATATATAATATCAAAGGATATATTTGATAAGAAATTAATATGAGAAATTATAAAATGTTCATGAAAATGTACATCATTACTCACTAATCCTGGTTATAATGTAAGGCTATACCTATACTTAGTATTAAATATTAATTGTTATTATGATGAATTGGCTACAAACATAATAATATAAAACATTTATAAACAATTATTATTTATTCATATTTAATATTATTATAAAAAAAAAAAAACTATGCTGGCCATATAATATGTATGTTATTAATTTTCTTTTAACCGATACTATAGTACCTAACCAACCTATTCAATTTATTTATTACTTATTAATGTTTATATTTCAATTTTCATCGTCCATCGATTATTACCACTTTTATTACGGCCCGAAGAAGCTCTATATATAGACGACCAGATTAATAGACTACATTTGAGACCAACTATAATTTGTTATATAAAAACTGTTAAGAAAAAAATAATCTAAATTATTTACTTAGGTAAAACCCTAACGGCCTAACCGAACTAAAATCCTGCTTACGCTACTAAGTATAGGTATAGACTTACACTTATTGGATGAATTAGCTAACGCTTAGAGCAAGGGTCGGTAACTGGCGGGGGACCACCGAAGGGAAATAAATGGACGTCAAAACTATTTTACTTTAATGTTGATATTTTTCATTATTTTTCTCTGTATGTAGACCATTAGCATGATAAACAAAAGGTTTTCTGGACCTACAAAGTTATTTTTCAAATCCTCCGGACCCCCAGAAACTGATTGCTGACCCCTCTCTTAGATGGTGACCCGTGAAAGTGACGCATGATAATTCAGCAACCAGAGGTTTTCGGCGATGTGATTATTTTAGACGAGAACGAAAATTGTCCGCGGCTTATCGTCCCCTTATTATTCTTAATGAGTAAAATAATTATTATATTTAATATTGTCGTAGGTACCTATAACGTCTTCATCTCAATGTCAAACACATCACAGACTATCGCCGGCCGGCCTCACACACACACACACACACATTGTTATCTGACTTTTTACGGCAATTTTTTTTTTATTATTTAAAATATGTTGTTGGGTTTATAATTTTTTTATAATAATATTAAGTAGTAGTGTTCAAATTTGTTGAACAAAGTTAATCACATTTTTAATTTTTCCTTTGAGTAATCTAAAATTATGTATTGCATTATTGGTATTGTATAGGGGCTAATCTCTGTGTACCTACCTACGTATTTTTAATAATATTATCTATATATATAAAAATAAGTGTACATTTTGAATAAATCTTATAGCTCAAGATCCACCGAACCGATTTCGATAAAAAAGGGCATATTAAGATTGATATGTAGATGGTTTCTGTGAAGTTTGTACGCTGTGCGATAAATGGCTCCGGGGTTATGGCCTCATAAGCGCACACCTGGCGACATGACCAAAAACAACAACAAAATGTATGAAAAATGAAAAAAACGTCTGTTGACATGACAACAACAATTCTATTTTCTAGATAAATATTAATTGGTTTGAGATTAAACGAGATTGATTTTTATTCAATTTCAATTGTATGGATTTAGGCGTTAAAAAATGCCACGACCAAAACGACAAAATATTGGCCGACGATCATGAAGTTTGTATTTTATATAAAAAATTAAGTTGAGAATTAAAATAATAATAGTTTAATACACAATTGCTTGCTATTGGTTACGGGCATCTTTGTTGATTGTTA